GTGAGGTTTTATCCCTCAATTCTGGAATCTTTCCTCTCCTTCCTCTCCCTCCCTGGACTCCTCTCACTGGCACATGAAGGGCTTTCTTACTTTGCCTTTCAGTCAGATGAAATTTATTCTTACATCATATCTTTCTTCTTCTTTTTTTCTAGGTCTTATAAATAAAGCTCTGGAGTCCAAATTTACCAGACTTGACTCTAGATAAGTAAAGGGAAGCTTTACAAAGTAGAAGGCTCTTCCCCCACCCCACCCTTAAATGCTTGGCTTTCAAGGTTATTGTCACACTACTGACTCAAAACATTAGCTTTTCAACTTAGAGGGAAATGATAACCTCTGAGTTTAAGTGTCTACCCAGGAGTGCCTGTGTGACTCAGTCAGTTAAGCATCGGACTTCAGCTCAGGTCATGATCTCACAGTTCGTGGGTTCGAGCCCTGCATTGGGCTCTGCGCTGACAGCTGAGAGCCTGGAGCCTGCTTTGGATTCTCTGTCTCCCTCTCTCTCTGCCCATCCCCCGCCTGTGCTCTGTCTCCCTCTCTCTCAAAAATAAATACACACTTAAAAAAATTTTAAGTATGTATTTTAAGTGTCTACCCACCCTCTCTTTCCCCATGGCAATCAACTGTAAAGGCCAAAGGAATTTAAGGAAACAGGATTTGTTAGGAATTAATATCTAAAGGGAGGAGGAAGAGAGACTAGTTTAATATTTTAATAATATTCTCCATTGAGCTTATGGGAGAGCCACTTGCTGCCTGTTAAGAATATACCAAGTGCTGTGTTAAGTGTTTTCTCTTGCTTTTCTTCATGTGTCCTTACGGCTCCCAAAGAGGACTTTGCTTATGAAGACACTAAGGCTTATTGAGATTATTGATCTTGCTGAAAATCACAGAACTAATCAGCAACGGAGCCAGGATTTGAGCCCATGGGTTCTGCCTTAACAATTTGCAGAATTAGTGACGGTGACACTGTGTCTCAGGGAGGACAGGGGGTGATGACAAGGAAATCCATACCATGTCCAAGAGCATGTACCACATATTTCATTACGCCTTGATTTCTCGTGTCTTTCACTAACATTCTCATGCCCTTTGAAACACATCTGGCAAACCCAAGTGTTGCTTGGTGGAAGAGAAAAACTGGCAAAAATTTGGCAGAAGACAGAAGGAGGAGGGTAGAGAATGTTCACAAAATACCAGTTCCTAGGAAATGTACTTCATCTTCCTGGTTCAGTTCATTAATTTTTTCACCCACAACATTTTTTTGAAAAGGATTTTAATGAGACATTTATTGGAAGTTGGTTAGAGGCCTACATGGTAAGTGCTATATTTTTATTGGTTTCCTTTTTACGAAAAGGCAAGACCAAAGTACACGGCGTTCAGAAGACATTCTTAAAATGGGAGGCATCTGAGTCACAGAAGTAAAGTTAAATTCTCTAAGCTTCCGGTCCCATAATATCTTTCTTTAAATACGCTTTTGTCCTGCAGTTTCGCTTTACCGAGATCACAGGATGATTCTGTAGGAAGAAGAGAATCCATCTGACCTGCCTACACCAGCCTCCCTGGAACTCATTTCTTTTCACACCCCAAGGAAATCATGTTTGAAACAACAGAGGAGGCAGGAATTTGGAAAAAAGAGAAAGTCCAATGTTCTCTTAAAAAAAAAACAAAACAGGAAATCATGTATCTTAAAGTACAGATCAGTAGTGGAAGCCTATATTTCAATACCGTCATGTTTTCTCACCCATACGATCTGTACGTTAGTATAGGCACTATTAGGAAGAAAGAAAAACAAATAGTCAAACTTGTCTCAAGATCAATGACAAACTGTTCCAGAACAGTAACAAAAACCATTAAGATCGGTGGGTGATGCATATGAAAACCCCTTAGATTATTTAAGAGAGGTTCTTTCATATAATCAAAGGTGATTTCGAAAAAGATGAAGACTCCAAACAAAAACAAAGAAGGGAACTTCAAGAGAAAATGGAGCAAGAATATTATACAAGGAAACAAGAAGAGTTTTAAATACATAAAGTAGAGGACGATGAAGGAGTCAACAGGACTGTTAGGAGAGAACAGAAGAACTTTTTTTTTTTTTAAGTGGGAAGACGGCTTGAGAAATGAAATGACTTCTTTGTCTCAGTGTGTGAAGCAGGATACACGGGGACAGATGCCAGAAACAGGCACATTTCCCAAAGGAGGAAGAAATAGAAAAGAAAATGGGTTTCCTGCCAGAACAGGTGGAGTCTTGACATGTACACATCTGACAGGCAGGATTCTGAAGCTTTCCAAGGGTCTGACCAGGCCAGTCTGAGGTTGTCTCTAAGACTTGAGGGCAAGGCTCTGCGGAGGAGGCTCAGTGAGATGGTTTCAAATGTTTTTGGACACATGAGAAATAGCAGTGGTGGGGAAGAAAAATCATGGAGTGGCCTGCTATTGAGCACAAGGCTGAAAGTTGGGCTAAACTCATTCAGAGCTCATGGTCTGATATTTTTAACCATCCATTTTGGGAAAAGAGCCAAATGTCTGGTTAATTTCAGGTGGCAGCAGATATTAACTCACTAAACTCCCTTTGACCTTCTCAAATATTGTGAAAGCTTTATCGGGACCTTTCTTTCTTTCTTTCTTTCTTTCTTTCTTTCTTTCTTTCTTTTCTTCTTTCTTTCCTTCCTTCCTTCCTTCCTTCCTTCCTTCCTTCCTTCCTTCCTTCTTTCTTTTTTCTCCTTCTTCTTGGTAGTGGTGGTACTTGTGGCTAATAAGTGGGTGGGTCTGAGATAGGGAAAGAAAGTAGGAGGTGTGGGTGAAAAGTTGATGTAAAATGTTCCTACAGAGTTTAGAGTTCTGTTTTGTTTGTCTAACCGATTTTTATTATAATCTGTGACTGGTACTCTGTAAATAGCACACTTACCCAATCATAAAAATGTATAAATAATCATCTAAGCTGGATCTGGGGTAAAATCATCAAAGCAAATAGCAAAGCCTTGAGAATAATGTTTCTGACCCTGCGATAATTGAGAGGCAGTAGAGAGTTGTAATTACAAGCATGGGCTCAGAAATAAGGCTACTTGTTTGTGAATCACCATCCTATTTATTGACTCTGATATTGGGTACTGAACTACACGATCTTGGGGATCGAATCTTCCAATGCCTTAATCCCCTTAGCTATAAAGCGGGGATACTAATAGCACCTCTCTGTGACACATCTATCATTATGCATCTATCACACTGTTTCTTTTCCCTCCTGGGAACACAGGAAAACCACATTTCCCATTCTCTTTCTTTCATCTACATGCGGCCCTGTGACCAGTTGTGACTATTAGAATGTGGGCAGAGGTGGAAATGACACTACTGAGCTGGCCCCTAAAGCCTCCCACAAGATCCTCTATGCTCCTTCTCTCCTCTCATGGCTTGCCTGCCAGTTGCAGAAGATCCAGGATAAGATTCTGAGACCCCTCAAGCTGGTGCTGCCTCCCCAAACCATGGTGTGAAAATCTGTTTGCCAATCATGTTATTGACAGTGACGTAAAGAAGAAATAAATCTTCTATCGTACGAACTACTAACATTTGAGGATGTTTGTTATAGCAGTTACTCAATTCTAATACTGTCTCAAAGTACTAGTTACCCATGACTAAAAACTATGGCATAAAGATATTATAAAGATTAAATGGAAAAAAAAAAAAGATTAAATGAGTTAGTATAGGGGCCCCTGGGTGGCTTACCAGTTAAGCATCCGACTCCTGATTTCGGCTCGGGTCATGATTTCACAGTCATGAGTTTGAGCCCCATGTCAGACTCTGCAATGGTACAGAGCCTGCTTGGGATTCTCTCTCCTTCTCTCTCTATGCTCATATTCTCTCTCTCTCTCAAAATAAATAAATAAATAAATAAATAAATAAATAAATAAATAAATATTTAAAAGAAATAAATGAATTACTATATATAGGAACTATCACAACATTATCTGGTACATGATAAGCTCTCAGTAAATATTATCTCGAATATCCATAATCACTATAGATTTGGCCAGTTAGGTATATCCAAAACACCACCTGGTTCAGGTCCATTAACTCTAAGAAATACTATTTGCACCTTCTCAGTAAACATGATCATGGAGGAGGGCACCTATCCCTCACAGTTGTTAAACCGGTTCTAACATATGTTACAAATAATCACTTTGGAGCAGACTGGGCAAGACCGGGTGTTCGAAGGGTTGGAAATCAGCAAGAACCTCTACGTCTCAGGCATTCTGGCTGCCCGGAGATACCTTTCCATAGAAACGTAAGATTCAGGTGAACAGCATGACTTCAAGCAAGATTCTCATCAGGACTTTTACAAAAGAAATCACACCAACTGTTTAAATACTTGTGCTGTTAGGTTTATCAACAGTATATGCAAAGGGCTTAGCACAGAACGTGCTCGGTAAGTGCATGCTAGGTACCTAATAATAGCAGCAATAATAATCTAACAAATAGTAATCACACTATTATTTGAACACTTGTTTCTTAGAATTTCAAGAATGTGTCTATTGTATGCTTTCTACTTTGGGCTCTTTAGAAAGGGATTTTATAGGCTCACCTGGGTGGCTCAGTTGGTTAAGCATCCAACTTCAGCCAGGTCATGATCTCACAGTTCATGAGTTCAAGTCCCACATCGGGCTCTGTGCTGACAGCTCAGAGCCTCAAGCCTACTTCGGATTCTGTGTCTCCCTCTCTCTGTGCCCCTCCCCTGCTCATGCTCTGTCTCTCCCTACCTCTCTCTCTCCCTATCACTCTCTCTCTCTCAAAAATAAACAAACATAGGCACCTGGGTGGCTCAGTCGGTTAAGCTTCCAACTTTGGCTTGGGTCATGATCTCTTCATTCACAAGTTCGAGCCCTGCATCAGGCTTTGTACTGACAGCTCAGCGCCTGGAGCCTGCTTCGGGTTCTGTGTCCCTCTCTCTCTGCCCCTCCCCCACTCGTGCTCTGTGTCTCTCAATAAAAAATAAAATAAAATAAATAAACATAAAAAAAATTTTTAAGTGATTTTATATCCTGATGCAGCTGTGGCTTTGCCTGTTATGTAATGCCATCTTTTCTAACATTTCATCTAATTTTTCCTTACTGCAGTCAGAGGCTATCACTTGTTCTGAGGCTTGCTCGACCTAATGAGGCTAATTGGTCCCTGCCCTCTTTATAACATCCTTGACTTATTTGCCAGCTCCACACTTGGGTATTATTGAGTATCATGGATTAGATATGCAACATCACACAGAGATCTCAACAATAATTAGGCAGTAGGAGGTGATTTAAAAAAAAAAAACACATTAGTCTCAGCTCTAAAATTCCCCTTCTTTATTAGGTTCAGGTCAATAGATAAAGACCTTAATGTTCCTTTAATGTAGAGATGAGCAAACCTGGCTGCTTTTAGGTTTGGCAAAGCGGAACTGGCGATTTTTCAAGCATTATATGGCTGGCAACTTCTGAGATGTATTCTGCCAAACGCTTTCTCCCCTTAACCTCTAAGTATGTACGTATTTCAAAGGGAATTTAAAGCATACATTTCTGATTTATTCATACTTAGCTGATCAAAGTTGCAGTGTTCGTCTTGATCAACACTTCCAGGTTCTAAATTCTGTTTCTTTGACCCGGGAAACCCAGAGAGGCCAGCAACCATCACCTCCTAGAGAAGAAACAAAACCCGTTGTCTGGGGCTGGGAAGAAGCTGGCTCACATCTGTGTTTCAGACAATATTTAAAGTGACTTTTTCCCCTTTGAATTCTCAGGGAAGGGTCAAAAAAAGATACACATGTTTCCAAATCTCTCTTCTGATATCAACATGAAATGGGAGAAGCCCCAGCACATCTCAATGAGAGAGGTCTGGGGGTAGCAACCAGGATGGAAGGGTGTAAGGGAGGTGTCTAATCCCCGAGCTTAGTTTTCACGGCACTTTACAAAAGACTAAGAAAATACCAACTGTCTATATCAAGGAAAAGACAGGGGTGACAGGGAGGGGAGGATGGTGGGGAGGAAATATCACAGTAATGGGGATTCTCAGTACTCCCTCCAAGCCACTCTTTGGTGACTGCTTCTGACCTGACGACACCACCCTAGGGATCTGGTATCTTCAGGCTCCAATTTCAGAAGCAAACGGAACCACTAAAATACTGGCTAGGCAAAGAGTGACAATAAAAGGCAAATCTTTCCTAAAAGGGTATGGACATCAAGCATACCAAACTCAGGCTGGTTAAATGCCCTGGTTATTCTGCCGTGATCCATTTTTTCCCCAGCAACTTTTTATAATATTGGCTCTTCTCCCAAAGATGACAAAGCATCATGTGAGTCTGCACAGAGGACGTTCACTAGGCAAATATTCCAGGGAAGGCTTGTCTCCTAGAAAGGCAGGTTAAAAATTCAGTCAATTTATTTTGGCTGCCTATTTTATAGAACAGGATGAAGTAGTCTTACCTCAAAAAGATAGGAGGTCGCCTTGGACTGTCATAAAAATCATTAACAGTGCAGACCTTTGTCAGTTTACAAACCACGTTTTTTTTTTATGTTTATTTATTTGAGAGAGAGAGAGAGAGAGAGAGAGTGAGAGAGAGAGACAAAGCATGAGCAGGGGAGACGCAGAGAGGGAGAGAGACACAGAATCTGAAGCAGGCTCCAGGCTCCAGGCTGTCAGCACAGAGCCCAATGCGGGGCTCGAACCCACAAACCACAAGATTATGACCTGAGCCGAAGTCAGACACTTAAGCGACTGAGTCACCCAGGCACCCCTACCAACGAGTTTTAAAGTAATGTTTAAAAGATTTACCTCCCCTTCTACCCCCAGAATAGACCCATGGACAACAAGGTTTAAATTTATAAAAGGAAAATGTTTAAGATGTCTGCTTATCAGCAACCACTGAAAGTGATTACATTAGTTATAACTTCCAAAGACAAGTATTTTGTTTTGTTTTATTTTCAAATAAAACCAAGTACGGCGGAGAGACTCTAAAGATGGCCCCACGATTCTTAGTTCTATATTCCTGGGGTGCCGACCCTGTGTAAACTCTTCCTCTTGTGCATGGGTACGACCTAGAACTTATTGCTAACCCAACAAAATATAGCAAAAGTGATAGGTTATCACATCAATGATTGTGTTGTATTATGGAAGACTGCCTTGCTGGCAGATCGGTCCACACGGCAAGGGGCCAAGGGTGGCCTCTAGGGTAGCTTCCAGCTGACAGGTGCCAACAAGCCTTGAGGCCGCAGTCTTATGAATGCAAAGGAAATTAATTCTCCCCAAAATATGAGTGAGATGAGAAACAGATTCTTGCTCAGTTAAGCCTCCAAATGAGAACCCAGTCCAGCAGACCCCCTGAGGACAGCCTTCTGAGACCCTGAGCAGGGCACCCTGCTAAGTTATGCCCAGACTCCTGACTCACAGAACCTGTGAGGGAATAAATGCGTTTCATTTCAAGCTGCTAAATTGGTAGTAATTTGTTGTAAAGCAATAGATAACTAATTCACCAAGGGTCTTTCATAACTGTTCCTGCTACTTTGAGGTTTCATATTGACGCAGTGAAACACACAGCCGAGCTCTGTAGTCAACTGATGTTATAAACGGCTCAAGTAGCCACAACTTCACCACTGCCAACTTACCACCAGAGTAACAGGAGATAAACATTTTGCCAGGGATATGCCTTTTCCCACCTTTTGGCACAGTTAGAGAAAACCCATAGTGGGGCTCCTGGTGGCTCCTGGTCGGTTAAGCCTCTGACTCTTGATTTCCACTCAGGTCACGATCTCATGGTTCTTAAGCTTGAGTCCCGCCTCAGGCTCTGAGCTGACAGCACGGAGCCTGCTTGGGATTCTTTCCCTCTCCCTCTTTCTCAAAAATAAATAAATAAACTTAAAAGAAAAAAGAAAGAAAGAACCCATAGTGAATGATAATGTGTTCCTCAGGCCTTTGAACACTGTGTGGAGACATGCTTTGTTTGAATAAAGAAAACCCAGTACACTGATGCTTTCCCTACCCTAGAGGTCACTAGCAGAATTTCCTTAAGGCCTTCCATCCACATACATGAAATAATTACAACAGCCCACATATATGTCATTTGCATCTTCATATGACTGCGAATTGTAGTTTTCAAAAATCTTATTACGCCCACCAAGAAAGAAAGATACCGATACAATCTGAGAAGCTTCGTTTATGAGTTTATATATGCGATATGATAATTCTAGGTCTCTCACTAGAATAGGATTGCCACACAAGAAATGCTCAATACTTACTGAATGCCCAAAGTACAATTATTCTAGAAGACTGCCAATACCGGATTTGTTTTTCTTCTTTATTCCTTGCATACTCTCTCATAGGTTTGAAACCCCATAGTAGTTTTGTCACTAAGTCAGCCAGCATTTTTCATACATCTGCACACATAGCACTATGCAAGGTATCTTCAGGGAAACAGAAGTTGGAGAAGATACAGCTTTGCCCTTAAGGACTATACAAATTAACTGGGTGGGAAGATGTGGCACACAAAAGTTGATCAAAATCTAACTATAAGGCATCCTCCACACCAATATCTGGGCCAAAGTGAATACAGAATTTCTTAGGGAGTGCTCAGGGGAGTGATCAGAAAACTTGGGAACGTGCACGGGTTCTTCAAACGGGCACGTCTATGGGAGAGAAGGCTGGGCATTCGAAACAAGGTGGAGAGACTGAGGGGAAGAAATTGAACTCCCAGAGTTTATGCATCCATTTCCCAGAGGAAAATATGTCTCCAACCCAGAGCTTGCCTGAGCTTTGGAATCACTTTTTTAAAAAACCAAACACTGGCCTGTACCTAACTGAAGATACCAGTACTGGACCCAAATCCAAAGAAATCAGACTGTCTGGGGGCTGGGTTTGGGATTAGCATTTTTCAAAAGGTCCCCGTGAGTCAATATGCAACCAGGGTTGAGAGCCCCCACTAGCCTGAAATGCCATTACTGGGTTTGATTCATGAGAAATGTTCCAGGACCACAAGGGAGGAAGCAACATGTAGCCGTTAAGATTCGAAAGTAGAATAGCCTAGGCTCAAGTCAAGGCCCTGCAACTTATGCGCTGGGTGATCATGGGCAAGTGGCTTCACCTCTCTGAGCCTTGTCTACACATCTGCAGGCTGGGAATAAGAATTGTAGTTACCTCCCAAGCATGTTGGAGAACTAAATCAGATAAGGCTTATAAAGCATCTGATCCAATGCATGGTACATAATCAGAAAACAAACTTCTTCATTATCACTATTATCTACGCCCAAGATTCTCACTTTTTCATAAAGGTACCCGAAGTCTAATGTCCATTTCTGAAGTCTTCGCTTCCATCAGGCTTAACAAAATTATCTTAACTCTGACCACAGCCTGAACCTGGCACATTGACAAATTCAAGCACATTGAAGCAGGACCACAAAGAAATAAGATAGAGTGGAGATAAGTCAAGCTGGGAGCAACTGAGCATCTTAATGTCAAGTGAAATGATGACTGACAGAGCCCGCAGCTCCTCTGATGAGGAGACCAGGAGTTACCAACATTGGAACAGCTCTTTCCGTAAAAAAGTCACAGGGCATTTAAGCGAAACATGGTAAAGATTTTCCACATTACGTGGGCTAACAGTGTGCCGTCCTTCCCCTCATTAGTGTGGACACAGCCTTAGCATCCACATCGTTCTGCGTGAATCACTCCCCTCCAACTCACCCCGGTTCCCATCACTTTACTCCAAAGTTTCCTAACACGTGGCCTGCTTAATATTTTTCAGACAAGTCATTTGAATGTTTCCTCAACTTCTCAAAACCAGCAATGTGCCAAGAATGAAACCATTCAGATCATTTGTACTTCTCAGGGAGGAAGTTTATTCCTTCAAGTGTGCAGGATTCACAGCTTAACTCCATTTTCACATTTCCGTATTATGTTGAAGACACATGTCTCGTGATGACATAGAACACAAATCTGGAAATCTTGGGCATAGAGACCTCAAGTCCTGTAACGGAAAGCTTCGGGAGCAGTGATTTCTAGAGACTGAGCAGGATAAGGGCTGCAGGAGGGGGAAACTGACAAAAAACAGGAAGAGCTCAAAGAGACCTTTGGTCAACAATTCCAAATGCTCTGAAAAGTCAAGTAAAATAGAAATACAGAGGTATCATTTCAGCAAAGCCACACTGCGTCTTTGGTAATTTTAACTTCAGTTATTGTAGTTTCAAGTTCTAAAATATACATTTGGGTTTTCTTTTACAGTTTATAAAACGGGTTTCTTGTATATTGCTAAATGCTTAGAAAAGGAAGGCTGGAAGGGCACCCCGTGATCCTTTGATGGCGGTCAATGCTAAAGCAACATTAAGGGTGACTTTAAGGCTCTTTATTAGTCTCTTTAGTGGCCTGTGAAATTTGTGTAATGAGCATTTCTTATTTTTGTACTATGGAGAGATAATTTCTAGATGAAATAAAATGTGCGTTGTACAAAAAGACTCTGGTCCTTTTGGACAGAAGAAGTGGGTTTAGAAAAAATACCAAAAATCTTCTGCTTAATCAAGAAAGGGCTGTCACTGAGTATGAATTTTAAATGCTCAGTGGGCTGGGAGAAGCCTTCTGCCCTGGAAAGAGAAGACGAAAAAGACTACTGGACAGAAAAGCACAGCCTTTCTGGCTCCCCCGGGTGGCTGTGAGCGACTCCGCTCGCCTTCCAAAGCCTCACTGCAGCGGGGACAGCGGACGCCCACTGCATGTGTTAGTGCTGGGCAAACCTCAGAGGCCAGCCGAGAAGCGTTCTCCTCGGCAAAGATTTAAGTCTCTGTTTCACAAATTCAATCAGGGCTTTTCATGATTCCAAAGGACTACCGTTCAACTTTTTTTTTTTCCTCTTCCATCATTCAACTCGGAAACATTCCTTTCTGTGGATTTTCATGAACTCCTGCCCAACACCAGGTGCAAATTGAAAAACTCCCACTGGCCAATTTCAGCATAGGGAGGACTACTGTTCTTCCAACAGAGCCCTCTTTCAGGCCAGGGGTTCAGATCTTCGCCCCTGGGCACACAAGTCAGGGGTTTCACTTTGATCCACAACCATCACTCATGAAAAACTCCCTCTCTGTGGTGACTGCCTCTCCAGACCCCCGGCCTAGAGGCTCAGCTACATCTGCCTGTGTGGACCTGGGCATTTGTCGGGGAGGAAAGCTGGAGCGATTCCTTGCTGATCTGAAACTTTAAACGTACAAGTGTCCTTGGATCAGACGTAATTTTCCACCACTGTAATGTATGTGTAGTCGACATTATCATTTGGCAAATACTTTACAGTGAGTTACTCTCCTTAGCTTGCAATTCGGAGACTAATGGGTGGTCTTTCTCACTTGGGGCACTCCACAGATGGATCACAAGGTTAGCTGTGCCACCAACATCCCAGGAATAACACGCGTGCCTTCAGAAACTGGCTGGTTCCAGCGGGAATTCAATTCTGGTTTCAGGTCAGCCCCGCACATTACTTGTGGTGTCAGCAATTATCCTATTAACATTTTTTTTACCAGACTTTATTGAGCATCTACTTTGTAATTTCAGTTGCCATAATTAATCCAAACACGTATTATTTACTTGAATTGCCACCTTCATATCTTGTGAAGGGATTGGAAGAAGAGCAAGATTAGTTCTTTATATTTGCCTCCAGCCACTATATAAATATTTTATCTTCTGCTAATTGAGAGTGGGGTACACATGGCTATTAACAAACGCTGCTATTGGAGTTTTCCTGATCTGAATTCATTAGATTTGTCATTAGGGCCTTGGTGAACAAACAAGACATCCGAATTCTTCATTTGAAGTACAGGAGTGGGGGGCTTGGAGTGCTGTTTTCTGGTATTGTTAGCAGGCTGTGTCTACCCGTCTTAGAGCTCAAAGAAGCAGTTCAGATCACATCTTGGAAGAAAGACACCAAAATATCAGATGATAAATGTTACATAAAGCTTCTGATATGCAAACTAGGTGTCTAGTCAGAGTCATGCAGGATACAGATGGCTCACTCATATTGGTAATTCATGAAATGAATGAGACTGTTCACAAAGGCATAGGCAGGGTTGCAGGGAACAAAACAGGCAGGGCAGTGCTTCGTGACCAGTAGGAACAAAGAACTTCAGCTACCAGCGGAAGCCTGAACACACAAGAAAAAGGAGAGGATACCAGAAGCAGGAGAGGGCAGCTAGAGGGGCAGGGTTTCCTGAAAAAGATTGCAGCTTTTGGCAGAAAGACACCAACGATGGCAACCAGGCAGTCTGAAGTCGGGGGATTAAGACCTCAGCTCCCTCCCTCTCCTCCTACTTCCTGATCTCCTGCTCCTGTCTCCTATTAGCCAAGACCAACTGGGAGCTGAAGGATAAGGGAGCATGAGGTGCATATGGGTCAGCCTCCTGGGGCACAGAGAAGAATGGAGAAGGGTGGAGAGTGGGTGCGGTGAGGGGGGACAAACAAGAGTATTAAGAAAAACCACATATTTTTAAGTGTAATGAGTATACAATGAAGAGCACAATAAATGCATTCTTTCCTGGAAGCTAAAAGCTAATAATGTGTAATTAGGCAGTTGATGCCTGAGCTGGTTCTAGTACAGGTAGAAGCCAATCTAGGCCCAAGGGAAGGCACTGTAGGCTGAGAAGGGCTGGGGGCAAAGGAGTTCCAGAAAACAGCTGTGTGGCCAGAGCCCAGGGTGTAAACAACTGGGGCAAGACGGGACCCCGGAGAGGTGAGGGGCCAGGCTATGGAATGCTAGGTTGGATGGAAGGAGTGGGATATTTTTTTTATGGACTTTCAGCAGCCAAGTGTTATCATCGGACCTATAGTTTAGAAAGGCTGTCAGCTATATAGAAATGGGATTAACGACACTGTTGAGCTACAAACCCTTTTCTGGAAGCAAGTGGAACAAAGAGACTAGATAATCAAAATAAATGAAAGAATTTCTTCTGACCACGACAGCCCCAGAGAACTTGGTTCAAGTGACAGCTGAGAAGGAATCAGTACAATCATCTCCCTTTATAACCCAAATGATCATTATGCTTAATTGTCTTTCCAAAAGATAACCTTCCTCTAAGATCAAAGTATTCTTTTATACAATCTATGAGCATTCTGTTTCTAAAACAACCGTGGATATATTGCACAGAGGGTCCTTTTGTGTCATAGGAAGCTTGTGAAGAAACTTCCTTGGCACCAGAATCCCCCTCTGGCTGACTTTTTTGCTGCATTCCTACACCACTGTAAATGGCTGCCACATTACCTCCTGTTGAGATATATATACATCATAATCTTGTGAATTAGTTGTTAATTTTGATTAAGTAGATCGCACCCCTCTTGAATGCGCCGTGCCAAATCCTGCTGTGTATTCCTCACTGCCACCCCCAGTGCTAGATACGCTCTGAACATAAGCAGGTGTTTATTTGCTTTTCTTAAGAGCGTACCATCATTCTCCATGCAGGAAACAATTCATGCTTTGAAAGCAGGGGTTCCTTACAACTCACTGGAGTGTCTCTCCTAAAATAGTCTACGCCTTTAAACATCCGTATTTTGAGCTCAAGACAAATCATTTATTTAATTACAAAAACTATTTTGAACATCTGTAATACACTAGCCCAATAGTCCATGAAATACAATAATTTTGAACATAAAAATAAGGAAATTTGTGGGATGCCTGGGTGGCTCAGTACTTTGAGCCTCCGAGTCTTGGTTTCAGCTCAGGTCATGATCTCATGGTTTCCGAGTTCGAGCCCTGCATCGGGCTCTGCAATGAATGTGTGGAGCCTGTTTGGGATTCTCTCTCCCCCATTCTGTCTCTGCCCCTACCCCACTCTCGTGCTCTTCCTCTTTCAAAATAAATAAATTAACTTTTTTTTTTCAACGTTTATTTATTTTTGGGACAGAGAGAGACAGAGCATGAACAGGGTAGGGTCAGAGAGAGGGAGACACAGAATCGGAAACAGGCTCCAGGTTCTGAGCCATCAGCCCAGAGCCTGACGCGGGGCTCGAACTCACGGACCGCGAGATCGTGACCTGGCTGAAGTCGGACGCTTAACCGACTGCGCCACCCAGGCGCCCCTAAATAAATTAACTTTAAAAAAAAGGAAATTTGTGTTAATATGTGAGTGACTAAAAAGTCATCTACTGTGTCATCTTTCCCAAATAATATTTAAAACTTTTCAGACCTTCAAAGCCTATTCAAAGATTAAATATCGTAGAAGTTTTTTTAATGTGTATTTATTTTGAGAGAGAGAGAGAACATATGTAAGCGTGAGCAGCGGAAGGGGCAGAGAGAAAGGAAGAACAAGAACCCCAAGCAGGCCCCACACTGTCAGTACAGAGCAGGACATGGGGCTTGATCTTATGCAGGGCTTGATCTCACAGAACCGTGAGATCATGACTTAAGCTGAGATCAAGAGTCGGACGCTTAACCGACTGAGCCACCCAGGCACACTGAATATTGTAGAAATTTTGATCACTGTAGCAGGGCTAGCGAAGAAGGTGTTTTTGGTTAGGGAAGCATCTTAGCATGCGTCATGTGATACCTCTCACAACATGTCGGACTGCCAGAACTCTTTTAGAAGCACTTAGAAGCAGTTAGAAGCACAAACTCCCACTCTCTTAAAGCCTTGCTGAACTGTCACCTTTTCAGTGGAGGCAATTCAGATGACGCCCCGCACAGTCCCTGGGAATCACTCCAAAATCCATATTTCTGCAGGTAGTACAGCTTAAAATGGGGTTCTCAGTCATGTTCTTCAGGATAACCTGTGCGGTCTCATTTAGTCTCCATGCCATCAGTATCATCACTGGCCCAAATCATGATGATTCACGTACATCTATCATTACCATTAGACTGTGAACTTCTTACAAACGGGAGCCATATATGAATATCCATGTCCCACAGACCTGGCACAGCTCCCGGAAAATACTAGATTCTTCTTAAATGTGATCCTTTTCTCACAATTGTAAGAGACCCCTGTGTGTCACCAAATTCAGATGTTTTATCGTAAACCCAAGCAACATAGTCCAGAAACCAATTGCCACAAAGGGCCACATAGGTGTCACCTCCCAAGAATTCTATTGGTCAAGCAGTCCCAGAATCTTGTCCAGATTCAAGGTGAAGAGACAGAGCTTCACTTTGTCATTGAAGGAATGTTGGAGAATTTGTAGCCATCTTTAATCTACTGCAAGAGCACTTGCCAGGCCTGTTAAAAGAAGACTGGCTATAATTCTTTAATCATGTTTTCTGGCTTGGGAAATAGAGTTCAAAAAATATGGGCAAATGGGTAAAACAAGAGAGATTCAAATCTTCTAGCATCTATGGCCCTCTATAGCTTACTGCCCAAACACCTTGGTCACAGGGCATCTGAACTGCATTTCAATCCCACTGGGGTCTCTAAGAGTTGCCTTTCGCAGAGGGAAACTGGACATTTCAACAGTAGTGAACGGAATAATTGGTACTTTTTATCAGGCATACTGCAGCACGAGAGATTCTGACGCTGAATCATCAAAGTGATAGAAAGTCCTGCGGATGGGCCTAGGGTACTGAGCCCAGAAATCCTCCTCCAGGGATTCCATTAGTTTGCCTCATGAGGGTTGAGAACTTTGAATGACTCTGGACTGGAAAATTCTCCTGTCTTTATTCTGCCCGTTGGCAGCCCTAATCCATCTACGTGCCTAAATCAGACATCTCGTGATCCATTTCCCACAACTGAGAAATCACTCCCCTTGTTCTATGCCTGGGCAAAGTGCATGACCTGGCAAACAGACACGGGCTCAACCAAGTTGGTGGGCTATTAGGTAGTCAAAGCGAAGAACTTTACTTGGTCAACACAGAAACGAAAATAACTCGTCCTTGTGAAGCTTGGTTAAAACGGCATTTGAGCTAAAAGCCCTTTTGTTGAGCTTGAAAATTCTTGACCAAGGGGTGGGAGTCATAAAGTGCTTTATGAGTCACGAGAAGGTCAAAGGTCACCTTTCAACTTTTAAAACAAGCCCTGGCTACTTACCGTCCCTTGCTTGCCTTCCCTCCTGCCCCCTCCTCTTCACCAGCTTCATCATCTATGTCCGCTTCACAGTCTATCTGTAATGAATTTGGATCCAGTTCAAGGAATACACAGGAGGACTTCAGCTCCCAGAGCAGGCTGCTCTGTAGGAGGGAGAGAGAAAAGAAAACACCCTGGGGCGGCTCTGTATTTCCAAAAGATTAAAAATAATTAAACAATAAGATATTCAACTTGGATTATTTTGGGACAGTGATTAATGGCTCTTCTCTTTCTAATGATACCCTCCTCTAAGCTAATCCTTCCCAACCTCATTTCAAAGAAAATGTTGGTTAACACTTGATTTGTTTCATTCCACGTACCCTTAAGTAAATCAGGGTTTATTATGGCCCTGACATTCATACCAATCAGCTGCCTCCCTCTCTCCTCTCTTGTAATAATTCAGGGGGAAAGAAAGGAGACATTTTCAAAGGCAGCAGTGCTTCACTGAGTAATTACCTAACTACCCAAGTCAATAAATCGTGGGTCAACCAGTAGGCTGGGGCTGCAGGGAGAGGTCAGAACCCAGGTGTCTCTTAGCCACTGTGCCCAGCACTATGCCCACCGCGAAAGAGCCTCTCGGTAAATGTTGGTTACATGAATACATTGTAGAAACAAGTATTTTCCTTTTGTGAAGTGGGAGAGCGAATCCTTTTCACGGGGACCCAGACTGAGGTAAAGCCGAGGTGAGGTGATGCAGCAGCTCACATTGAATTTCTCAGGTTTCATAATGGGCTCGTGCATCCATTCAACAAACATTTACTGAGCACCCACTATGTATTGTAATGTATTAAAATAGGGTTTGCTCTAGCAGAAGTGGCAACAAATTGTAAATAATTGCCCCACCAGACAGGAGGTAGCAGTTCTGTCGCACTTAGTGCACGGAACATGGAGACATTGAGGAAGTATTAGTTGAGTAGATAATAATATAGAAAAACAATAGCCCCAGATTATCTTAAGCATGACATCTCCAAAGCTCATGTCCTTGAATCTTAATGCAGTGATCTCTTGGCAGCCCAGCGTATTTTGAAGCAATGGTGGATATTCTTAGGTCATTTAATTTAAACTGTAACAATAGAACAGAAACATAGATTTTAGCCCTTGTGTCTCTCCTTACCTTCATGTGGTCAGGCAGAGAGCCTTTTGCACTGGGAAAGTCGGAAGGTTCGTTTGCAAGATGATAATTTAACAAAACCATAGAGGGATTGTGGAGATCATTTAGAAATGCAGCAAGGCCATTTCGATAAGTTCATGATAAATGTAATTGGGAATAAAACCTTGACCTTTGACTGAATGATGAGATTAACATTAAACTGAGCAACTTTTACTGCCTATTTTCAACAGCTTCCCCAAAAGACTTTGTCAGCTTCCAGTTTGGACTTCCTAACCTAAGGAAACTGTTTTTATTCTATAGCTCCGATAGGTAACCTGCAAAAATAAGGGTTCATTCTTAATCAACTCCATGGCATCGTATCTTCCTCCATTCACCCAAGCCAGAAGTTTTCCATCTGGACAACAGTGACTCCCCTTTCTAACATGACGGAATGGAGAAAGCTCCGACACTGACAGGTTTAAGGAGACTGAATGGTCACACTGTATGTAAGTTGAAAAAAAAAAAAAAAATCTTCTATCCTGCTCCACTGCTATCCAGACGACAGCAACTAAAAAGCAGCCTCTATGTAAATTGGACCTCAGCCCCTGAGCATCCTGTCCTGAAATGTAATTCCCCTATCTGACTGAAGTCCCTGTCCCTGCATAAGCACAGAGCCGACCCTACCACCCAGGGAATTGCTCTGAGGAGCCACAGAAAAATTTACTCCATCAGCTATGGCAAAGACTCCCGTGGTACTGTCCTCTTAACAACCACAGAAGCACTGGGCTGAGTGCCTTTTGAGAATATTATCAATACTTTCTTTCATTAACACCACCAACCTGACTTCTTAAAGGATGAAACGTCCATAAAAAACAATCTTGGTATGTATACCCAAATGCCTACTTTATTGGCTGCCATCATGCTCACCTAATTTTCAGAATTCAGTAGGTGGATCAGTAAGGAAAAGCCGGAAGCTCCTGTAACAAACCACCTTAAATTGCAGTAGTTCAGCACAATAACCATTTATTTCCTGCTCATGTCCCAGTGCGTGAGGGTTGGATGGTTCTCCGAGATAGCTCACCTCCATGGAATGTGTGAAAGATCTAGTCTCCTCGTAGCTTGTGCCACCGTCATCCACAGGATATGGACTCCTTATACACAAGGAAGGAGAAGAAAGAGCATAGAAAACTGTCTAGAGAAGTTTATGCCCAGGCTTGGAAGGAGCATATATCACCTTTTGCCCCATTCCATTGGCCAAAATACAGCACTGTCTCCAACTTAACTTCAAGAGAGAGCAGGGAATTTAGACTTCCAGTGTGTCTAGCAAGAGGAACGGGATTAGTAAGCACCAACCTCATGTGTGCGATGAAGTTTGTTTTATGACACTAACATGTAGAATGGGAAGAAAAGAATCGTCCTAATGGTTTCAAGTGCTCAAGAAAAGATCATTCTACGTAATTCTCCCTCTGTTGTACCAGCAGAAAGGGGAGGAGCTTAGTGTTGGGAGCATGTGCTCAGGAGTCACACTGCTTCTGTTCACATCATGGCTCTATCACTTATTGGATACGTAATGGCAGGGAAATTGCTCAATTTCTTTGTGCGTCAGATCTGTCTGCAAAATGGAGTTGACAGTATTTACCTCAAAAGGTTACTGTAAGGATTAAATGAGATGAAATATCTGAAGGGCTTGTCCACTTTGGAGGCTGAACGAAAGGGTAGTGACAGAGCTTTGGAAGAACCCAAGTGTGAGATGGTATGAGATGAGAGGGGCTAGTGGACGCACATGGCAGGAGAAAGGGACGATTAGGAAAGTGTCCTCACCTTGGACCAGGAAGTCGTTGCATTTCCACTGATGCAAGTCAGCCAGATGTCAGATCAGCTAGTCACGTTGTTAAAGATGAAGCTGTTGGGGCGCCTGGGTGGCGCAGTCGGTTAAGCGTCCGACTTCAGCCAGGTCACGATCTCGCGGTCCGCGAGTTCGAGCCCCGCGTCGGGCTCTGGGCTGATGGCTCAGAGCCTGGAGCCTGTTTCCGATTCTGTGTCTCCTTCTCTCTCTGCCCCTCCCCCGTTCATGCTCTGTCTCTCTCTGTCCCAAAAATAAATAAACGTTGAAAAAAAAAATAAAAAAAAATAAATAAAGATGAAGGTGTTTTCTGCAGGAGGAAGTAGAAGTGTACCCTTAAATGGATACAAAAATGTCTCATGGAGAACAAGACAAGAAGAAAAGTGAATCTGAAGACTCTTAAAAACAAAGACAAGAGCCCGCGAGAGAACCAGAGTCCTTTTTCACCTTCTCTTATCTTTGCGGCTCTCCTCACATTTGCTTCATTCTTTTCCCACCCAGCCACTGACTTTCTTGGCTTTGTCATGGTAGAAAATAGCCACTACCAATGTTTACATCTCTTCTACTAAGGGGGATAACCAAACTAAACTGGAATCATATGCCAAATTCCAAATTCCTAGAAAAGAAACTCATTGGTCCAGCCTAGTCAGGTGCCACCCTTGGTTCATTCAACTCTGGGTTGAATGGCAGGTGGGTTCACGCTATGGGAACATGGCTTCTATAGTAATCCTGTGTATTAGGATGAGGAAGTGATGGCTCCTAAAAGAAAGTAAAGCTCTAGGTGGACTCCTTTCTTCAAGTTTCTGATCACATACTGCCTTTTGACATTTGTGTGTGTGTGTGTGTGTGTGTGTGTGTGTGTGTGTGTGTTGTCATTTTCATTATTGATCGCCTTAGTTTTTCATGGGCTTATATCCTTTCTCCCCAATTAGGTTGGTTATACTATGGTATTATACATGCCCCCCAAATTCAGATGTTGAAACCTAACTGCCAAGGTGATGGTATTAGGAGGTAGGGTCTTTGGAAGGTGGTAAGAACAAGACCAAAGTTCTTACCAATGCAACTAGTGCCCTTACAGAGCTATCTCTAGGGTACTCCCTGGCCCCTTCGGCCATGTGAGGACACAATGACAAGTCGGCAATCTGAAACCCAGAAGAGGATCCTTACCTGACCCTGCTGGCACCCTAATCCAAGACTTCCAGCCTCCAGAACTGTGAGACCTAAATTTCTATTGTTTCTAAGCCACTCAGTCTATGGTATTTTTGTTATAGCAGCCTGAACAGACTAAGACATGTAATAAGTAACCAAAGTAAGGACTGTGAGTACAATCTTTTTTTCTATTCCACAGGGCTAATGCAGTGATCTACAATAGGCATTTAAAAAATATATAATGAATTAAAGAATAAGTGATTAGTCTTGGAGGGGGATGGAGGGACAAGTATTGCCAATTTAGTGGCTTTAAAAGGTCTGTGTCACACCCTTGGAAGACTGACTTACTTGAAGAAAGCAGTTGAGTCATAAAGAGATGGTGCACAAGACAGACTGATGCTTCCTAGATCTTTTTTTTTTTAAACTCTCCTTGCAAATGACTGATGAGAGTCTTTAAAAATTAGCCTGCCACTGACTACTAATTACTTTTGTGTCAGTCCTTGGATGCTGCAGCTTTACTGATGTTTGATTCTTACCTTTTCTTGCCATCACTCATTCCTAAAACAGTATCTTCATGTAGACGTGCAAAGTATTTTTCACCCTAACGTCACTATTATGGATCCACAAGGTAATTACCCTTAATGTTTATTTAGTGCATTTGTTACAGAGCACTCAACTCTTAACTCTTTAATTCTCTTTGTTGCCCATTCATTCATTTGCTATCCATAGAGTGTCTCCAATGCACAAAGTCCTGGGTACATAACAGTGAGTAAGAACCAGTGCCTCCCTCAAGGAGTTACGATGAGGGGGAGAAGCCATCAGCAGGCAGTTACTGAGGAAACTACGAGTTAGTCCACCTTTTTCAAATGTGTGGTTCTGCAGACAGCAGTCGCGAATAAAGAAACTTAAAAAAGTCTTCAGTTCCATAGCATCTAAGTAAAAAGAATCACTTGAAAGGCTACAAGTAGGTCGTGGTAAAAATGTGTACCTAACTTAATGGACAGCGTTTTATGCATTCTTTATTTATAGTAACCACACTCTGTATTTCATTCCATCTGTTTTCAGGTGGAAGTCTGACCACTGTTAAAGTGACGACCCACTTGTTTTTCTTTCCTTCCTTCTTTCCTTCCTTCTTGTCTTTTCTTCCATTAATTCTCATTGGCCTGGAGCTCAATTTCCAACAGGCTTAGTAGTGAGAGGGCTCCCTGTGGGCCTGGGGAGTATGGCAATGAGAGGTCATTGTAGTCTCGAGAGGTCAGCAAAAAAGGGATATGCATTTACTTTCACTTCCCTCCCTCATTACAGCAAACCATATGAACCCCTTCGGTGGTCACTAGATGAGAAATGTGAGAGACCTCCTTGAGGAGGAGAGTAGTTGGCCCTTTGCTTTGGCTGTTTAGCATGCATTCCCATAGCAACATCCAGTGAGAAGGAACAGTCGATTGCTTATTCCCTCCATCCGCTAAATAATTGACAAGCCATCTCTTTGGAAACTTAATGGTACAGCTAGATTCATGTGAAAGAGGCCATTGTCAACCTTTTTCCAAATCTGTCCAAATATTCCATTCCTCCATCACTACCTCCAAATGTAACTGTGGAAGACACCACCAACCAACCAACCAACTGACCAGCCAACCAACAACAGAACACTCTAAATGCAAATGGAACAAAGATTCCTGACATTAGCTAGCCAGAGAGAGACGCAAGCTCCTTGTTAGAGTTCCAGACCCCCTTGC